TAAATACTTTAAATAAATAAATAAATAAATAAATATTCTCAGCAATGCATCCAGGTATGAATACTATTAGTAATTCCAACTTCATCATTATTTCTTTGTAATTATTTAATGCAGAGACCCAAAAGTTTTCTTCCCTTTGCTTAAGCCATCCTAGTATCTATCAAATCCCTACATTTTTTGCCTGTGCATATTTAGAGGTGCTCCACATTTCTGTTAAGATTAGCTCTCAGGTGCAAATATATTTCATTATATTTCCTTGTGGAAAATATTTCAGCTGGAAAACAGGATTAGAAACATATGAATGCCAAAAGCTAAACCAAGAAGAAGGGTAAAATGGATAAAGAAAATATGAGGGAAAGTAGATGCTTACGTTCAGCAAAACAGCCTCTTTTGTGATTATCCCTCTCTGCAGTCTGGGGGAAAAGAAACCCAAATAGGAGCCAGCTCTTCTCAGGGAATATTACTGTTTATTGACCTTCCACTGTCACCTTTTTAGCTGGCAAAATGCCTCACTCCACTGACCCTGTCAAACTACTAAAATGAACATTAAAGGATTTCATTAATATTTAGAAGGCGAGAGAATCCTGACTGATTTCGGGATAAGATGAAAGTAGATAACTGTATCAGCTGATAGGCAAAAGCAATTAGCAAGGAAAACTTTATGTTACTGAGGCACTGGAGTCTGGTAGGTCAACTTAATTATGCATGTTTAACTCTGACTTGCAGCATAGTGTACCTTGGAAGATTAATAAAAGAGCAAATGGACCTAAGCCATAGGATAGTCTTGCTACTGTTCAGAGTCTGGGCATGATCTGTGTGCATTTAGTGCTCTCTGGTGTTATAAATGTTACTCTTATAAATGTGGTAGTCAAGAGATATAAGCTTTGTTTATTAAATAGTACTCTAAAAAGTCAACTGCATTTTCATGTTGGTTGTCTTGAAAATCATGCGCATGCTTTCTGGGCTGCAGAAAGGGTTTAACAACAGCTACCAGGAGCTGCAAATATCCTCAGTTCGGCTCCATGGAACCAAAACAAACAAACAAACAGCACAAATTTGCATATGCTGATCCACATATGCTCTAAAATAACCCTCTCTCTGGGGTGTGTGTGTGTGTATCTTTAAAGGATCCTCTATCTTTAGAACATCCCTATTCACAAAAATTGATATATGTATCGAGGAGATGAGGATGTGTAACTTCAGTAAAGAAGAAAACAACACTTTCTCAGTCCACTTTCAGGTTATCTCCATTTGCCCCAAGCACCAGGCTAACCGTAGCGGTAGCGGAAGTGTTTGCGACTCCTTCAGCATCAGTGGCTAGTTTGTGTGCCAGTCCCCACTGTTCCCAAGCAAGCAGAAGAAATCGTGGGAAACTGGACCTAGATAATATTTTATCACAGTTCTAAACATAGCCTCGAATACTTTTATACACAGACTGTATAATCCAATCTCCTGTTTGCATCACACAATTCCTGCAAAGCCTTGGCAACATTAGCTTTTTGTGGGCAAAACTTCCAGCTCTGAAATGTTACATGGAGAAGGTCCTAAGTTTCATCCTTGGCAATGGTAAAGGATCAGATAACGAGTGATGAGAAAGGACTCTAATCATGGAGAGATGCTGCCATTCTGACTGGACAGTCCTGAGCTAGATGGTTAAATGACCTTCAGGTTTGCTATGCTGTTCCTTTGCCTTTTCCGATATTGCAATATTTTTCAGGAATTCCAAGGACATTTTTGTGTCCTGTTCCAAACCAGCATACAGAAAAAGCTCATATTTTATTGTATTGTGTTATACAAAAGCATGTATTTCATCAGAGCCCACATGAATGAGCTACAAAATAAATAACAATTTCACTTGGCGTAAGTTCACTTATCTTTGTTTTAAGACTCAGTCTGAAAATGAAGATTGCAGACTGATGAATTAGATCCAATTACATCTGACATTCTGAGGCAAAGAAGAAATGACTGGCCCCCATTTCTGAAAACATAAAGGCCCACCCTAACTCATGTCTTCATGGCTTAGCTAAAACATATTAGGTGAGTGATGGGCTTAGGGTTCTGAGAGGCTTTTTCTTATCACGTTAGAAAGCATATAAAATCTATGTAATGATTTTGGGTGTTAATCACGCAGAGTTGGCTTTGTATCATAGCTTTCATACTTGAGTTTCTTCCAGCAGTGCTTTAGAAATCAATGAACGAAAATCTGATAGTGGAGTGACTGTTGGCAAACAGCGACTCTGTGCACTGCAGAAACTGACAGTCAATCCTGAATATTAAAGATGGTTCAACAGAGTATTTCTTGGGGCTTTTCTCTCCTCTTGCTCTTGCCTCTCTGCACTTCTAGGAAGCTCAGCTTTCCAGTTGGCCCCACTGGAGATGGAAAAAAGAAATTCTCTTGAATTTGCTTTGAAAGTGAAGATCTCTCACACTGCCTGCCCCTCCCCTCCCCTCCCCTCCCATTTATAATCTGACCTACCCACTGTTAAATTTTTGCTGGGTCTACACATCATAATAAACCAATCCATGCTTTCAACAGTGCACTTTTTTTGGCCTGGGTGTGCCTGACAAATCAAGTAGTGTTTGTGCTAGTGTGATTTCTACCCTCCTTGTTCAGTCCTCCCACTAATTGGCATGTATCCCATCAGGCACTGTGCCAGTCCCATGTTGGATGGCTGGAGCAGTTCCTGCAGCTGCTGCTCTTTCCAGGGTACTCTTCGGTAGCTGCATACCAGGACCTTGGAAACCCTGCAGTTCAGACGGAGATAGCATGGAAAACATAGAACAGAGCCTTGTTTCTTATTGCAGTTCCCAAAAATCAGATACGTGCTAAACCATGCTGTACCATGTCACAGTTTGGTCAACAGACCATCCTGCACAAGAAATCTCCATGATTTGCCATTTCATGTGAATGCAGCCTTAGTCTGTAGAGAGTGGTAACTTTGGTGAAGTTTATGTATAAATCTTGGGACAGAGTTTGAACCAGCATTCTACATAAAACCCAGAATGAATGCTGGACCACAGCTCTGAAAGGTGTGTTGGAGCAAGAAGCATGTATTTAAGTCTACACAATGTATTTATCATTTATTACGTCTGTATACCACTCCATAGTCCATTGGCTCTCTTCACGATTATATGTACCTTTGCTTCAGCCCTGAGTAATAACTGCTAACCCTGTTTATTCTTACATGGTTAGAACAGTGGGGAATTCCAAGTCAGAGGAAATGGCTTTCAGGCTGGCTTGTATCTTAACAGTGAGTCAAGTTATGAAGCAGCTATTTGTAAGGTAGTAGATTTAAATTCTTTAATAGTATAATCCTATATACATGTCCTCTGAGAAGTTGAATTAGTTTAGTGGGACTGAATCTTCCCCTCCTTGGTATCCTCCAGATGTTTTTGACTATATGCGTAACTCCCTTCATGCCTGACCATTGGTCATGTTGGCTAGGACTGATGGGAATTGTAGTACAAAACATTGAATGTACTTGGTTATAGAAGGATTGCAGCCTAAACTTCAGATGTGATCAATATTGAAAATATTTAACTAGATGGCTGCTGAGCTGAGAGGCTATACCATGTCTATTTGGTTTGTCTAGAAAATATAACATTTTGATCATCTCTGATTGTTATAGCTGCTGTTGCCAACCTTTTCCTGCCCATTTTGCAATGTTCAAAATGGTCACACAAATATTTTGTACATGATAGTAATAATAGTAAAGTGTTTATTATTAGTATTTAGTAATAGCAAACACTAACCTAAAGTGTTAGGTTTAAATGAATTTTGTTGTTTTTATTTTGATCTGTTTCACCTTCTGAGATAAATAAATTGTTGTTGGTTATTTGCATAGCCTGTTTGTTTCCATGCTCTGATCTGACCATAGACATTAATTTTACTGCTACCCAAAGTTACACGTTGTTGTTTTTTAACAGACATGCAATGTAATTTAGTGATTTCAGTGACAGCAGGT